GTAACCAAAACTATTGCAACACTGTCATTTTTATTTTTGTTTCCATCCTTTGTAACTGTTCATTGTTATGCATAACTTAGACCTTATTGACATAATTTATAGGCTTACACACTACATTTTTAGTTATTGAGTTGATTTGATTTTTGGTTTTTTGTTTGTTTTTTTTTTGTTGTTGTTGTTTTGTTTTGGTTTTTTTTGGGGGGGTTTTTTTTTTGGTTTTTTTTTTTTTTTTTTGGTTTTTCGAGACAGGGTTTCTCTGTGTAGCTTTGGAACCTATCCTGTCACTCCCTCTCGAGACCAGGCTGGCCTCGAACTCACAGAGATCCGCCTGCCTCTGCCTCCCAAGTGCTGGGATTAAAGGTGTGTGCCACTGAGGCCCGGCCTAGTTATTAAGTTTTATGAGATGAAAATTTAAATGTTTTATTTTGAACAGCCAGCTATTGTGTATGACAGGCTGAGTATCCCTAATCTTAAAATCTGAAATGCTCTAAAAGTCCTCATGTGACTAGTTACACTCACAGAATAAATACTATAAAAACTGAATAAACAGCCTTAGCTATATGTAGTCAATATATAGAAATACAAATGACTTTGTTTAGACTTGTGTCCTATCCCCGATATTTCACATTACACACCTACACAGAGAGGGGGTGGGGAGATTATTTCAGAATCTGAAAAAAAGAAATCTAAAACTTGATATGATTCTGGTACTGATCATTTCAGATAAGTGATATTCAACCTGCAGTATGAATGAGAATTTGGGATGAGGATATGTGCAAGTCAGATAGAGTTAGGTAATTAGTAAATGTATTGCTGATGGTTCCAGATCACAGATCTTAACGTTAAGATCACATTGTAACATCAAATGTTCTGTGCTCTGTTTAGTTACATAATATGTCAGAACATGGGACTAGGGAATATATACCATCTTAGCAAAAACTGTGTTTTTCTGAACTAGAATTAGGATCTGTGATCTGGTTCCTGAATGTCTGTGAATACAAAATAATTTAAAAATAGTACTGACCTAGATGATAAGTCTATGAGATGGGATCAGCTATCAGTGACAGAAAACCTCCTAAAACCAGTATTAAAAAAAGATTAAAAGTTATTTCCTTATGAATGTAAAAGTTGTCACAGGTCTTGTATGAAGAATCATGGAGCAAGCGACCATAATACTGAACACCCCCATTTCTTTCTTTTCTTTTTTGGTTTTTCCAGACAGTTTCTCTGTGGCTTTGGAGGCTGTCCTGGAATTTGCTCTGTAGACTACAGTGGCCCGGAACTCAGAGATTGTCAGTCTCTGCCTCCTGAGTGCTGGGATTAAAGGTGTGTGCCACCACCACCCAGTCTGATTTTCTAAATAGATTGTTCTTTTAGAGAAGAAAGGCTCTCCCAGCTTAATAGAAATATCTCTTAATATGTTAATATGTCATTACCGGGGCTGGAGAGAGGGCTCAGTGGTTAAAGGTAAGCAGTCTTGCAGAGCATCCACATTGAGTTCCCAAGATGTCATTTGACTTACAACTGCCTGTATCTCCAACTACAGGGGTATCTGGCCTCCGTGGGCACCTACTCTTGTGTGCATGCACATGCACACACATATTATTAAGTGTAACAGAAATCTTAAAAACAAAAGGAATGTCATTCTCAGATGTGATGTCTAGCCCTTGTATTCCCCGAACTTGTGACACTGAGGAAGGAGAGTAGCAAGTTTAAGGACAGTTTGGTCTGTATCCCGAGTTCCAGACTAGACAGAGCTACATGACAAGACCTGGTCTCAAAAATAAAACACAGAATAAATCATCCCTTTTTCTATAGTTGAGCTATTGTAAAGAAATAGTCTGAAGGACACTTGCTAGAACTGATGGGATTTATGAGCCAGTCTCCTATGAAATGAGTTGTGTGAACTTTCCACAGAACTCCTATGGAAAATAATCAGTAGGGAACAGACCCAACCACACACAGTTACCTTACTGGGGCATTTACCTTTAAGGCTTCATCAGTTCTAATCTTGTAGTAGGAGAAACTCAGAATTTTCTAATATATCCATCTGTAAAACCCAAATAATAGTGCTTTCTGTGATGACAGCTATAATACTGGTGGTATAAATGTTTTTATTAGATAAAGAGAAGAAAGCTTCCAGGACTAATGGCATTGCAAGAGTTGACTCTTTAAAAAGCCGTTTAAAGGGTTGGAGCTCTTCCAGAGGTCCTGAGTTCAATTCCCAGCAACCACATGGTGGCTCACAACCATCTATAACGAGATCTGGTGCCCTCTTCTGGTGTGCAGATATACATGGAAGCAGAATGTTGTATACATAATAAATAAAACCTTTATTTTAAAAAAGCTGTTTAAAGAAGATGTTCATCAATCTGGAATGATACCGACTTCTCAGGATGTTTTAAAATACAAAAGCAGAACCAGATTCAACTCACAGAAACACATTTCATCCCCACCCCATTATCCCGGTAATTCCATATTCTGTCTTGAAGTGTTTTAAGTGTACCCGTAGACTGGGTTTGTGGCTCAGTAAGTACATGCCTACCTAGCATATAAAAGATCTAGGGTTCAGGCCTCAGCACCACACACACACACACACACACACACACACACACACACACACATAAGATCTCCTTAGATCTTTTGTAAAAGAACAACATGATTCCAGAAGACAAAAAGGAGATATTTGAGTGTAATGCCTAGATTTAATATCTAGAAACTTGAGGTAATTATCCCCAAGTGTCCAAACAATAAAAAGCATCCTCAGCTAGGCCATGGTGACTCACACCTTTAATCCCAGCACTCAGGAGGCAGAAGCAGGTGGATCTCCCAGTTCAAGGCCAGTCTAGGCTACAGAGTGAGTTCCAGGACAGCCAGGGCTCCACTGAGAAACCCCCGTCTCGGAAAAAAAAAACAAAAACAAAAACAAAAAGCAGCCTTCATACTTTGGGTTTACTGAGAGATATGAAGATTGCTGAGTTAGTCATGAGCCTCTTAGATGGCAATGTTTTAGTCCATCAATTTTCCTTTTACAAATTAAGGTTCAAAAACAGATATGTTTTTAGTTTATATATGTCAGCTATCTAGAACTTGTTGGAAAAAAATGTTCAATTAATGTTTGTTCCTTAGAATTCCATACTCTAAGCCAGTCACTTTAGAAAGGAGTCTACTTGTGACCCTAAGTGGGCCAGGAAGAGGTAACTTAAGCCAAAGTGATTAATTGCTAACTGGAAAATTTTACACTTAACCCCTACCCAAAAAGCCAACCATGCACTTAAACCAAAACCAAAACCAACCTTGGTAGCCATGATGAACGCTTGCCATTTACTGGCACATCCCTTGGTAGATGTTGCAACTGTCCTTTTCTGTGAATAGGAAATGGAGACTTCACCATGACTACCATCCTGGTAGGAGAAACAGTGAAGCTGGAGCCTGGAAAGTTAATGCAAGTCACTACTGTGACCCTTGCTTGAATTCTAAGTACTACCATGAAGCTTACTTCATTTTCCTCATTCTACTAATGAATTTCTAAAACATCTGGTTACATTGTTTTCTGTCCTTTTAAAACCTATACAGTAACAGACTCTTCAATTTATTTGTTTGCTTGGTTTTTTTATCATTCTAAATGTGGTTATAGTTTATTAAACATTATGCTGTCTTGGTAAATATGCTTTATTCTAGTACTTTTCCTCTTCAATGATTCTCAGGTCCTATATGGATTCTGAAAAATTAGTATCATTTCTAAGAATTGAGAACCCACAGATGAGGCTGGGATTATAACTCAGTGGCAGAATACATTTAGTGTGTTTGAAGTCCTGTGTCTAATCACCAGAAAGGGGACTCAGCAGTAAAGTTCTGAACTTGATGTGCTAGACCCTCGACCTCAAGAGTAAGAGAACCTAGTGAGCTTCATTCATAGAGGATCTTACCATGTTTCCTAAAGCAGCTTGGATATATATGTACTCAATGTGTAATAACCGAGTATTATATAAAGGCTAAACTTTCTCTGGGTTCAGAATTTAAATTAGAATCACTTAGCTCAGCAACTCTAATGCCACCAGTAAGAAAAGCAAGTCCACATGACGAGAAAACCTAGTGCTTTTTTTGTTTGTTTTGGTTTTGGTTTTTCAAGACAGAGTTTCTCTGTAGCTTTGTAGCCTGTCCTGGAACTCACTCTATAGACCAGACCAGGCTGGCCTCAAACTCACAAGAGATCTGCCTGTCTCTGCCTCCTGAGTGCTGGGATTAAAGGCATATGCCACCACTGCCTGGCTGCCTAGTGCCTTTTAATATCTTTGTATACTTGAATTTGGTTATTAATAAAATTATTAATTTACTTGTCTAGAGACTGAACAAAGTCAGGTCCTTTAATTTAAAAGCAGATTAAATCTTTCATGGCTCTTCCATTAAACAAAGTTGTTTTGATTTCTGTCTGGTGACCTGTGCTTTTCTAGGAACTTATGACTAATTGTTGGTTTGTTTGGTTTTATTGACAGGTGTCTTAAGTGCAACTGACCTATTCGGGTTATCACAGTCGGTTCTCTTTACTTAGAGAAGGGCTCTCTGGGACCTGTGAGATGGCTTGGAGAGTAAAAGTTCTTTCTGTGTAAGCCTGGCCACCTGACTTCAATCCCTGGAACCCATGCAAAGGTGGAAGGAGAAAACTAACTCCACAGAGTTGTCCTCTGACCTCCATGTGCACACTGTGACACATACACCTCCACATGCGTCATTCCTTCGGTGCATGCAACAACAATGTTAAAAACTAAAGAAGTGCTCTTTTTCTGTCTTTAGAGTCACTCTGGCTCTTATTTCACAATGTTTTTCTAGTTGTCACATAGGTCCTGTAATTCCCAGGGTTCAGTGATGTTTCCTGATATTTGAAAATATTCTGATATTTTCAGAATAAAATGAACTAATTTTAATTTAGAAGATATAGTTCTTTGTCATATACTGGAAGAGACTAAATACAAGGTGAGATCCTGGATTAGATCCAAAAATGGGAAAACATTAATGGAAGAACCAGTCAAGTTTGAATGATGTCTATAGTTTATTTAATAGGATTATACCAGTCTTGTTTTCCTTTCTTAATGAAAGGTGTTATTTAATATTAGGTGATGCTAAGTAAAGAATATGTGAACTCTGCAGCTTTCCCATAAATATTATTGGAAAAATTACTGGAAAACATTTTTGGTTTTGGTTTTTCTTGGAGTCAGGATCTCCAAATAACCCTGGATGTCCTGGAACTTACTATGTTGACTAAGCTAGCTTCCAAATCAAGAGATGCACCTGCCTCTTCCTGGGTGCTAGAATTAAAGTGTGTACCACCATGCCTGGCCTTGGAGAAGTTTTAGATATATACCTCACTCAGATTATTAGAAACTTGTGATATGGGCCCTTCTTGAAGCTATATCAGTACAGTGGGAATGATAGGGTGTATCAGCCTGCTGACTGCATCTGTTCCAATACTGCCAGTTTCAGCAAGCTTACAAAGTCCACAGGGCAGTCGGATCTTGGGGTAAGTTTGGGTCCAGGTTTGGCATTCACTAAATGGCTTCAGTTTGGGCAGCCAATTTTATTGTTTGGAGTCTGATAGTTTGTTATTGTTTTTTTTTTAATCTATATATTGGAAAGTATAGTATTCAGTTTATGGTGATTATGAAGACTTCCTACATATATAAGTCTTAGTCATAAACTGTAAGGCACTATAGAAAAACGCTCATTTTGATTACTGTCTTAAAAGAATTGATAGAGAAAGAAAGATTTGTCAGTTTTTTGGGGTTTTGTTTTTGGTTTTTCTTTGTTTGTTTGTTTGTTGTTGTTGTTTTTGGCTTTTTGAGATAGAGCTTTTCTGTGTAGCTCTAGCTGTCCTGGAACTCACTCTGTAGACCAGGCTGGCCTCGAACTCAGAGATACATCTGCCCCAACGTCCTGAGTGCTGGAACTAAATGTGTCACCACCACCAGTCAAGATTTGTCAGTTTTATGTATTATGGGTTAAGCTGGCTCTCTCTCTCTGGAACCTTTCCTAGATTAATTGTGTAACTGCATTAAGTGCAGTCAAAAGCCATAGGTGATATATTTATTACTGTGCTTATGATATTTTCAGTATTTTATCATTTGCAGTGTGAATTTGAACCAATAGGATAAAGACTCATGAGGCATTGAATATTGTAGTCTACTAATTATAGAGATTTTACTTACACAATATTTTAACCTATTCAAACCAGTGTCTAGAGCTTTGACAACCATGGCACTAGAAAGAGAATTTGGGCTATGAAAACCTCAGATATGAAATACAAAGCCCAAGATACCAGTGGAATTCATAAAGTCTATGACCAAGAAACTCTCAAATGGTTATCTTATGTTGTGCCAGAAGGTGCTGAGCAGTCTGTTAGGGGAGAAAACACATCAGTAGTCTCACCTGTCACTAGATCTTGCATACTACAATACCGATTTGCCTGGCAAGATGTGCCTACTAGTGCAGTGGGAGCATAATGGTTATGAGGGTAACCAACAGCTTTCTAATTGGTTATGAGGCCTGCTCCCCAGGAGGTGTTTCATGCTTGGTACTATAAACCTGGTCAAAAGTCCATACCTGTGTGCTGGCTAGTTTTTATGTCAACTTGACATAGACTAGACTCATTTGTGAAGAGGGAACCTCAACTGAGAAAATGCCCTGACAAAATTAGCCACTGGGCAAGCCTTTGAAGCATTTTCTTGATTAATTGGGTGTGGATGGACCCAATCTGAAAGAGAAGGCAAAAACCCTGGGCAGGTGGTCCTGGCTGTTAGAAATAAGCAGACTGAGCACTCTATGAGGAGCAAGCCCATAAGCAGTGATCTTCCATGGCCTCTGCTTGAATTCCTGCCTCCAGGTTCCTGCCCTGCTTGAATTCTTGCCCTGACTTCCCTCATTGGTGGAGTGTTACCTTGAAGTGTAAGATGAAATAAATCATTTTCTTTCCAAATTGCTTTTGGTCATGGTGTTTTATCCCAGCAATAAAAAAATATAAGACAAATAGTGAGAAAATAGGTCCGGGGGAACCTGCAGTTTTGTTAAATAGTCATGCTCTTAGATTTCTTCTAAATACAGCTTTGTGTTGCTTTCAACTTGGGTCAGAGTAGTTTCTTTTTGTAGTGGGTAGTAGTTAATGCAGAGACTCATAACTGCAAAAAGTGCTGGGTATAAGTAAGCCCAGTGCTCAGCTGTGTATGAATTACATATGTATATATATGATATATATATATCACCCCCACCATAGTCCGAGGCTCAGAACACTACAGAAGAGGGTGCAGAAAGAATGAGAAATGGGGGATGGGGAAGAAAACTGTGAAAGGCCGGTTTCCAGATATGACATGACATGCACACATCAATTCACAGCAACTGTTGTAATCAAATGGTTTTCAAACAAATTCATACTAAATATTTTCTTTAGATGATCTGTCTTTATTCTAGTAAATATGTAGATTTACATTAAACTAACAAAATTTCTTTTGTACTGATAATGTGACACAGATTTTTTAGTTACATCTATTTTGTGCCCTGCACGTGCATAGAACCAAGAGCTGATGAACCATCGATGTAGACTCAGATCCAACTCTATAGGAAGACATGCGCTGGCCCCATTGAGTTTGAGAACTGTTAAAAAGTGGACATATGCCAGGCAGTGGTGGCGTACACTTATAATCCCAGAACTTGGGAGGGAAAGGCAGGCAATCTTTGAAAGTTCAAGGCCAGCCTGGTCTACAAAGTGAGTTTCAGGCTCCAAAAACTACACAGAGAAACTGTGTCTTGAAACCCCCCCCCCAAAAAAAGTTGACATTCATAGATAAATAAGAGTAAAGTTATTATTGACAGTTATTTTGATTTCTTTTGTTGTGAGGAAGATGTACTATTTTCTTGGGAATAAAATAGCTTTTTCTAAAATTAAGCAGATAATATACCTACAGTTTACTGCAGATTGAGAAGGGAGCTACTCTTTTCTGCCTACTTCTTTTTGGTGCCTTTGTGTAACTGACTGTGAAACTCTCCTTTACAATTTGTGTTCTTTACTGTCTGAGCATTACAGGATGGTCGTGATTATTGTTTTAACAGTCTAAGAATTCTGTACTTAGATCAGATGTGGTGGTACATGCACTTGATCCAAGATCCAAGAACTCAGAAAGCAGAGGGAAGCAGATCTCTGTGAGTCTGTATCTGAGTTCAGACCAGCCAGGGCTACATAGGGAGAACCTGTCTCAAGATGGGTGGATGATGGAGGGACAGAATTTTAAAAATTCTGCACTTAGAGCTATGCATGAAAGAGCGCATCTCAGCATTTGGGAAGAGGTAGGAAGCTTGTGAGTTTAAGGCTGAAGTTTATATAAGGACATTCTGTCTCAAAACAAACAAAAAATATAAGCAAACAGAAAAGAACTTTCACCAAGCTGGTTGTAAAGACCATGAATCAAATAGAATCTGATAATTAAAGGCTGATAAATAGATCCTGTGTAGTATAGTGTATGCAATGTGTGCCTGAGACAGACCAGAAGAGAATAGGAGACGATTAATTTTAATCCATCCATCATCACCACAGTGACACCACTTAAAAGTCTGATGAAATTCTTAAAAGTTTTAATGGTGACTACATTATGTAAAAAGATGGGGCGAGTCTTTATGAAACTGACACAGGATAACTAACACTTCAGCTGGGCTGTGGTGACATACACATGGTGGATTTGAGTTCAAGGCCAGACTGGTCTGCCCACCAAGTTCCAGGACAGCCAGAGCTACATAGAGAAACGCTATGTTGAAAAACAAAACAACAAAAGAATAACTGACACTTGGAATAGGGCAGAGTAAAAGGATCCATTAGAATAGCAAACACTCATGCTCCAATTATGGCACACAAATTAAAGGCAGCAGTTCAGGCTTGATTACTTGGGCAATACCAGCCAAACAGAAAGCTGGTTACATACCCGGAGGGATCAGTGGCAGCAGAAAAATAGCCAAACAGTAAAGGGATCAGCTGATATCACCATTTACAGAGCAGGGGAGGATAAAGACTAATAGAGGAACCGTTTAGGTGGGTTTTTTTTTATTTTTATTTTTGGTTTTTTGAGACAGGGTTTCTCTGTGTAGCTTTGGAGCCTATCCTGGCACTCACTCTGGAGACCAAGCTGGCCTCGAACTACAGAGATCCACCTGCCTCTGCCTCCCGAGTCCTGGGATTAAACCGTTTAGATGTTTAAAAAATGATTCCTTTTTTATTTTATGTGCATTGGTGTTTTGCCTATATGTCTGTGTGAGGGTGTTAAGTCTCCTGGAATGGGAGTTATAGGCAGTTGCAAGTTGCCACTTGGGTGCTGAGAATTGAACCTAGTCCTCTGGAACAGAGTGGTCAGTGTTCTTAACTGCTGAGTCATCTCTTCAACCCCAGATCCCACCCCCACCCCTCTCTCTCCTTTCTTTTTTCTTTCTGTTTCTTTCCTTTCTCCCTCCCTCCCTCTCATCCTCTCTCCTTCCCTTCCTTTGTCTCTTACTGTATGTATAGCCCTGGCTGGCCTGTACTCATATAAAGATCCACTGGTCTCTAACTACTGAGTGTTAGGATTAAAGCCTTTTTTCCCACAGCTGGCTCTGTTTAGAATTTTTATTTCTTAAAAGCAAAGTACAAATAAAGTTATAAAACATTCATAACATTCCTTTTTACGTTTACTTATACATGTGTATGTGGAGGTCAGAGAACAACTTACAAGAGTCAGTTTTCTCTTTTTCACCATGTGGGCTCCAGGGATGGATCCCAGGCTTGGCAATAACCTTACCCACTGAGTCACCTTGCTAGCCCCTTATAGCATTCTTTAATGAAAAAAGGTAGAATCAAAATAATGAGGTGGTTTATGAGTGAAATAAAATGGAAAGATTCACATTGAAATAGAGGTAAGACAAGTAACTAGGATATAGTATTGCAATAGTGTAGATTTTTGTTCCACCAATTCTCCAAGTAATGAGGATGGAATGGGAATGTAAGCAGAGGAAAGTTACAGAAGCTGCTGCAGAGAAAAGTCTTCCTCAGTATATTGAGTCTGTGGCAGGACTTCTTTTCTTTTCTACATTGGGCACTTGAAGACACAGCACCCATATAGCCATCATTTCTTGTTGGCTGGTTTTGCATAGCATTTTACCACTACACTATATCCCCTAGTTCTTTTTTTTTTTTTTTTTTTTTTTTTTTTAACCGGTCTCACTGGATTGCCCAGGCTGGTCTGGTCTCACAGCTGTCCTGTCCCAACTCCATTGAGGTGCTGGGATTATGGGCCTGCACTATTAAGCTGGTAAGTCAGCTTCTTCACCAGAAAGAATAAAAGATAAAAATGACCTCAGACCAATTCAAACAATATAGAAAAGGTTCACTGGAGAAATGTTTTAAAATGCCAGGCAAGTGTCTTGCTTAGCTCTTGCGCCTAGGAGATAAAAGATGTTTTTAAACAAAAATCTTATTCCCATAGAACCTGATACCTATTTTCAGAAAGGAAG